ACTTTCATGGAAAAGCTGAGAAATAATATTAAATAATTATAAAATTGCTTATGCAAACCATTCCAAAAGCGGTCCTTCAATTCTCTAAAACTTGGCCTTCAAAGTTATTGAAAAGTCCTTGAATTTCAACCTTTGGCATTTGTAGGAACCTACTTCTATATGGTAATATATTATTTTGATTGTTTTCTAGTACCATAACAACATTCATTACACTCAGCAGACAAAAATAAACACAAGTAGAATTTTTCATGACCAGCAATAACGAAATTGCGTGACAACAGTGACAATCGCAATATGGCAGTCCCCTAAAGATAACTCCAGATGTGCGATATTGAAAGCGTGAGTTCACGCAGCCATGCGTCTTGTTTAAAAATTAATGCACCTTAGTGATTGTAAATTGTTCTATCTTATTCTTTTCAGGTTTTTCATGGGCCCAGATGGTTCAGGGCATCGTCAAGAAATTAGCTCTTCTCAAACAAGTGTTGCAATTGATAGAAGAGAAAGCCGGATGCAAATTAAATGGTTAGCATTTGATAGTTTATAAAAATTTCTTTCTCAGTCAGTGTACAACTGAGTTGTACACTGACACATGTTGGCCTGAAGATAACTCTAATAAGCCTTTCTAATTGAATACAGATGTAACCAAGAATTGAAAGGAGGTTCATCCGTCGAGGCAACTCTCAAGGGTTATTGGTTGACTATTTTGTAAACGTCTGTGGGCTTGAAAAAGCGCAACTGAATCATACAGAACTTTCTACTTGATAATGCAAACACATCACACGTGACAATGTAGAAACATTTTTTGGTCTTAGTCATGTGATGTTTGTGTAATTTTTTTTTTGTTACAGGTTACGGCCAACACTAAAGGCATTTGGTATTGGATATCTTACACAGCTAGCACCTCTCCTTTTAGGACAAATCAAGTCAATATTTAAAAGACCAGGTTTGTGTGACATTAGTTTCAAGTAGGTACATGTAGCTATCTATGCAACTGATAAAGGAATTTCCTACTGTGTAGATTAGTTGTTCCAAACTTGAAATGAAATACTGATCTTAGAGCAGTTTTCAATTGAGTGTCATAGAACCAAAAGCAAAGTAATCACTCTAGTCAATCACCAAGGACAGAGACAATCCAATGAACCAATCAAAACTAAAGAGAAAATGCATTTAGTTGGCACCTAGTAGTTAGGCTGTTTGTAAAGAACAAAAGTCTAAGTCTGGTTTTCACTAGTAACAGAGCTATGCCATGTAGTGAAAACCAAACCAACAGAGTCAGATGCAGAGTACAGATTCCACTTCTGACTCTGTCATTTATGATCTAGTGAAAACTAAATTTTCACAATCACAAGCAGAAATTTCTAGCATGGACATTCTTTACTTCTTGCACTATGCTTCTGACTCCCACAATCTAGTTTTCACTGGATCATATGTAACAGAGCAGTTCAAGTGAATAAGTATCATGGAATATTTGGAATACTGTTTTATGTACATTTACATTGATCTTGTTTTCCTTTCAGGAAGACTTTTAAGAACTTTTTACAACAAGGATTGCATCAGATGTGGGTTATTCCTTGGAAGTTTAGTGGCAACTTTTAAGGTGTGCATTTTTTGAGATTAATTTTTAAGGTACTGCAGCAAAACCAAATTATTTCAACCACCATTAAATATTATGAACAACCCAAAATGTAAATTTTTGAGGAAATTTCTTTTTAAACTGTAATAGTATAATCATAATCATATAATTATTGTTTTAATAGTACTAAATAGTTTATTATTGTAAGGGAGTGGGCCAGGTTTTCAAAGCACAATTAAATTAATGCTGGGTTCACCTGTTGTTGCTACCTACTGTATTTATTCGCCTATAAGCTGAGCGATTTTTGCAAAAAGTTTTACTCAGTTTTGGGAATTTTTTTCCGAAAAGGGGGGTTCGGCTTATAGCCGAGAGTTTTGAATAATTTTTTTCTTCGAGGCGTCATCAACAAAGTGAAAATCATCATAGACATTTCTGATTCGGCTTATAGCCAAGTCAGGTTCATGAAATTATAGAAAAACTCAACAAAAACAAGTCGTAAAATGTTGGACATTGAACTTTTATATAATAGGTGGCTCCTAAAGGAACCGTTTGTGTGTTAGTTATTAGCTTTCAACTAAGAGTTTACTCGCCATCAGTCTCGTCTTCGCTGTCTGTCTCGAACTCATCCTCCATTTCTTCATCATCATTGAGTTCCTGTGAGTCCTCGGTGTAGGTTGCGATGTCTTCCGTTCCGTCCATGGCATTGGAAATTCCACAGCTCTTAAAAGACTTCTTTACCAACTCCTCTGGAATCTTTTGCCATGCTTCTTTAATCCATCGAAGGACAAGGTTTCTAGTTGGCGCCTTCTTCTTTCCTGCCGGGGTGAACTCAAATGGCCCAGTGATCATCCACACCAAGTACTTTTTCTGGAGGTGATCTTTAAATGGCTTATTCAGGCATTTATCCAAGGGCTGCAAAACGGGGGTTAGACCTCCAGGGATGACTACTACGTTGATGTTGCGCCGTTGGGGATCGCTTTTGTTGGCATCGGTTAGGTGAGCTCTGAATGAATCCCAGACTAGCAGTGACGGTTTGTTGCGAGGGTTCCTTGGCAAACACTGGCGAATCCACCGCTGAACACCTGGCTCATCCAGCCATTCTTTTTTGTGAAAGGAAATGCGGAGAGAATCAGGAATGACGAGATCTCGTGGAGTCCGGACGCAAGTTACAAATATTATAGCAATGTTTTTTTTTTTCAGATTGTTGAGTGGGAGTTGGAACTACTAAGAAAGAAGAGAGATGAATTTAATGCCCTTGTTGCAGGTAAGGCAAAAAATATTTAATTAAGACAGGGATATAGCACCATTAGCATTGTGTAATGTTATTTTCACCTGGTATACATTTTTAAACAAATGTTAAGGTAGTCAGGGTTGTAGAATCACCATAGATCTTGTTTACGATCTCAGGTTTTTCTGTTGGGTTAGTCTTCCAATTCTTAAGAAAAGATTGGACAATCAGCCACTCACTACAACAAATATAGCTGCCAACTTAAAAACTTTATGATAACCTTGGTAGCGGTAGATTTAGGGAGGGGGCCATCTGCCCTTCCACTTATTGGAGCAGGAAAAGGCCTTTGCTCATCCCAACCCCCCAACTTTTAAGGCAAGGAAAAACCAATCCTTATCCCTCCCAGGCCCCTCCTACCTCCTTTCGGGGCTTTGGATCCTCTCTCCACTCCTGTGTTATAGAAAGTTACATGACAATGACTCTTAATTCTTTTGCTTCAATGTCCAAGATTGATGAAAAGTTATCTTTTGGGAGTTTAGAAGGAATGCATTTTTTCTTCTTGCTGTTAAACTTGTGAAAGCAGTTCCCCTTGGTCATAGTCATTGCAAAACTGCATGTTAAGCATCTGCAATTGTTTTTCAGGTGGTTTAGCTGGTCTGTCCATGATGTGGTATAGGAGCTCAAGTATAGCATTGTATCTCGCCTCAAAACTTTCCGAGGTAAGAGTGAAGGAGTTTTTGCCTTTTTTTTTCCCCCTAAACTGTAAGCTAGTTCTCAAAGAGGAATAAAAACAATATCCCATAACCAAAAAGTGTTAAACCCTTTTCTTCTCTGTTTAGTCTTTGACCTGTTCTCTCTACCCCCTCCCACCTCTGCTGCTCAGTTGCACTTCTACTTTGCAGATAAGCCAAAGCTTGTCTTTAAACTTATGCTGTTTTGTAGCAAACATTAAAAAAAATCATTCATTTGTTGTAAGTAATGATTTATTAATATAATGTAAGCATTATTGATTATTATGGTTTACCTAGTCATTGTAAGTGAACTATGCATTCTATACTATTGTAAGTTAGTTAGTAATGTAATGGAAGTAAGAGATTTGATCTAATATATTGCATTGCAAGGTAAAATAATGTAAGCTGAACATAATTCCACTCTGTTCATGAGCGTAATATGTTTCCTTTCAGTCTTCACATCACACAAACTCAGTAAAAACTAAAATCTTATCTTTTATGGGTGCTTGTGTCTCCATATTAGAGACTGTTGCAAAGCTATTTTGGTTTAATTTATTGTTTGTGTGGGAGACACAGTGGCTTCATGGTTAGTGCACTCGTCTCCAGATCAAGTGGTCTGGGTTTGAGCCCTTGCAAGGACTTGGGCAAGACACTTACTCTCATAGTGCCTCTCTCCACCCAGGTGTATAAATGGCGAACTTAATGCTAGGGTAACCCTGCAATGGACTAGCATCCCATTCAGGGGAGAGTACAAATACTCCTAGACACTTCATGCTACAGAAACTGGGATAAGCTCCGGCCTGACTGGTCCCTTTGCTCGTATACAGAAGACTGAGCTTCAGCGTGTAGCACATCCCCATTGTTTACATGTGCATGATGAGTGCCCACTAAACGCAAAGTCACTACCATGTCATGTGTACTCAGTAAAAATGAAAATATTCAATTCTTGAATTTTGCATTTTTACAGAGTCTTCATGTCTTGGTCTAAGACACTGGAACCTAAGTCAAATGGGAATTTTAGCTTTATTTTACTGTTTGCTATGTATTCATTCAACTGAGCCGTAGTGTGTGGAATATCCCCATTATTTACATGATAAGTGCCCACTAAACTCAAGGTCTCTACTATGTCATGTGTGCTCAGTAAAAATGGAAATCTTCAATTCTTGAATTTTGCATTTTTACAGAGTCTTCATGTCTTGGTCTAAGACACTGGAACCTAAGTTAAATGGGAATTTGGGCTTTATCTTACTGTTTGCTATTTATTCGTTCAACCAAGCTGTAGTGTGTAGAATATCCCCATTATTTACTTGATAAGTGCCCACTAAACTCAAAGTCACTACCATGTCATGTGTACTCAGTAAAAATGGAAATCTTCAATTCTTGAATTTTGCATTTTTACAGAGTCTTCATGTCTTGGTCTAAGACACCGGAACCTAAGTCAAATGGGAATTT